AGATTTTTGCCTCAATGTTCCTAAATTAAAGTTCTTTTAAATCAAATTAGTCCCTTTTATTACACTACCAGACAAATGTTTTAGTACACCATTTTTCCAGTTTTTAGTAAAATGCAAGCAATGAATACCCTGAAATGGTGCACATATAAGCAGTAAACTAGAGGATAAAAAGAGTTTAGGTTCAAATTATGTAAATTTCAGAGTTATACAAAAAGGACCTTTTCAGGGAACAAGTAAGGGCCTTTTTACACAGGCAGTCTGTTCAGGTCCGCCTGTCAGTTTTTTTTAGGGTGTATTTGATTGGAAGCCTAGTTAGTGTAACTCTATGGGCAGCTGGATGTAAGTGGATGTGCGTCCATTTACATCCGATTACTTCCGGACTTGACCGTGATGGATCGGAGGTAATATGATGTAAACGGAAGCATGTCTCGTACATCTGACTCTCACAGACCTAACATGAGTCCGTACAGCTCAGTTTGAGACAAAACTGAACAGACATGGATGTCACAAGAGTGATATCCGTTCTGTACTGCTCCAATCAGCAGGGAATCCTTGCTGATTGGACAGTGTCTGTGTGTAAGAGGTTTTATGAATTAACAGCTTTCAACTTTTCTACAACAATGGAAGTAAATAAAGTCTTGAAAGGTAATGCAAACAATTGCTAAAGGAATCTCAACTTACTATGTTACTACATTCTCGGAATAATTATTTGAATTACAATTACAAAGAAGACAAGTTCCTGAGAGTCAACACAAGTGTGTTCATCTGTTATTTCTGTATAAGGTGGCTACTTTGATGAGTCAAAACGTTCGATTTAATTTTGGTAAAATGATTCCATGATTTAATTTTTAAGTGTTTATTTCTATGTTTTAATTTCACAGCATATTGAGACATCAAACCGTGTACATTTCAACAATAACTAGAAAAACTGTGTTCTAAAACTTTTGTTCTGTGATATATGTTTAGTGATATCAATGATTCTATGGACCCTGTAAATATACTGTCCATTCCATCTTATTAGTTCCATATTTTTTAAATAAAACTTTGCTTGAAAAAACGGTCCGTATAATGTAAACATTGTTAAAGCCTTCTTTATATAGACAATGCTTGAAAAAACGGTCCGTATAATGTAAACATTGTTAAAGCCTTCAATATATAGACAATGCTTGAAAAAACGGTCCGTATAATGTAAACATTGTTAAAGCCTTCTCTATATAGACAATGCTTGAAAAAACGGTCCGTATAATGTAAACATTGTTAAAGCCTTCTCTATATAGACAATGTACATATTCTGCAATTATTGGATAAATCAAATACATAGATACAGTGTCTATCTATCTATCTATCTATCTATCTATCTATATATATATATAGATATATATATATATGTGTACTCATTTGTCCAGTAGGTAGTCACATTTAACTAGACTTTTTCTGTATTGTTGAATGTGACTATTACTAGCCATACGATTTTTAACAACGTTCCTTAATCCACATTATCAGTAACGTCTCACAAATCTCACATAGGGCTAAAACAGGAAATGATGATAGTAGATTTTAGGTCATCACTTTGGGTGCCATATGCCATGTCTAACATTCCCCAATATGCGTTACGCAGCACATCCCTTATCAGTCACTCTAATACACATAGCATTTGGGATCAAATTATGTACAAGCTATCGCAAACAAGCCTTTCGTCATCTATGAAAATATTGAACAATGCAACACACATAGTATTGATTGAAAATGTGATCTATCAGTTATAAATGTAAAGAATCTATTAAAAATCATCACTTAATCTGAATTACAATTGGTTCTCCGGAAGCACACAGATATTTGTTCAACTGATTAGAAGAGATCCCAAAAACATTCTGCCACAGCCAACTGTCTTATCAGATTCAAAATTGATCAAGAGCTCACTAAATCGATCAAATGGAGGATCTCTGGTTTGCAATTATGTTAGTTGCACTGACTGAGCAATGATACGATCATATTGATATGTATTTGGCCACCTTATAGTGAAACTAAACTCAGTAGCTAAATTTTTAAAATACATTCAACTACTTTTAGGCTCTGTTCACACCTAGGCGTATCGAATATGCGCGTTTGTCTCGTGTTTCGTGACGCACGTTTTAGCGGTAAAAAACACGCGACAAACGCACGTTTCTGAGGGCTACTTGGCTGTATCCCAATGGAATACCTTTTCAGGCGTAGGCCGTTTTGTAGTGCGTTCAGACGGGCTGAAATACGGCAAGGTGTGAACCATACCCATAGAAAACAATGGGATTTTCATGTTCGAGCGTTTTGTAGAGCGTTCGTAGAGCATTGAACACGCTACAAAACGTACAGGTGTGAACCAGGCCTAACTAATAACAAACATGTAGCTTATTTGTGCATCACTTGGCTGTAGATCCCCAGATCATCTCTGAATTTGTGCTGACACTGTCCTTCTTTCTTTCCCCATGGTCCCTGTGTGTTGCAAAGTAGCCACCACTCCAAACCCATTCCCATAATAGACTATAATCTTACAAATACAAGTTAGAAAACTAAAACGTGAGATCGTAGTGCATCATAGGAGTGAGCTTGGAGCAGTGGCTACTTTACAACACGCACAGGGACCATTAGAAACAAAAGTAGCCACCCACCAGAAGGAAGGACAGTGTCAGCACCAATTCAGAGATGATTTGAGGATCTACAGCTGACTGATACACAAATAAGTTACATTTTTGTTAGTAGTTAGGGTACTTGAGTGCATTTTAATAGATTTACCTTTTTTCAGTGCCCAGTCACCAGCTCTTTGTTATCTCTGACGTACGTTGTTATAGAATGGGGAACTATCTGACCTGGAGTATTTACACTAGATTTAACTCTTTTCCTGCCAGTGACATAAGGCATATGTTCCAGCTGGCCATGTCAGTATGCCTTACGTCGCTGGCATTCAGCCTTCTGGTATAAAAACATGGTTGCTTCAGAGATGATTTGAGGATCTACATCTGACTGATACACAAATAAGATACATTTTTGTTAATAGTAAAGGTACTTGAATGCATTTAAAAAAATGTAACTCCTGAGTTTAGTGTCACTTTAATGATTCTGTTTTATCTCGTAGGCACTATATAATAGGACGTTGCTACCTGTGTTATGTTTTCTTTGGTAATTGCCAGCCGTTTTTTTAATAATACTGAAGTATGTGTTCTCCATCACAATGGCCCAGGGAGCATTCTACTTTCCTGCTGCTTCTTCAGGTATTTTATTTTACCGCTATAAGTATATTGATTTGCACATTCTGCAGTTATTTCACACCGAAATGAAGATTCTAGTGAGCTTGTAAACCATTATCCCATTCAGACAGGTTATTGTATGGAAACAATGATTAGAGTGTATGTTCACCCCAATTTTTTATTTTTTTTGCAGTTTTGGACAGAGTGAGGAGGGGAGAGAACCCCTGTCGAGTTTTAGCTGCTATCTGGAGGTCCATTAGATTTTTTCTTTCACTTTCTGCCCAGTGACAACAGTTTTAGCAGACAGCAAGTTAGGAGAAAAATCTGCAACAGTGAAACCGAAAGATTAAGAAATCTGATAGGGATTCTAGCCTTCCCCTGCTCAACTAAAAAAGGTGCTTTTAGTTACGCCTGTGTTGTCATTATAGATTTATCATCTCTTCCTGGCTAAACAATTGTCAGTGTGACAGTAAGTGAAGGCAGCAGTAAAAACACAATAAGAATTCTAACCATTCCCTACTCATGGTACTCATTCATAAAACATGAAATATTTTGGCTGGTCATACATGTTAAAACTGTACATTTACTCAAGTGTTACTAGTAACCAGTCTACAACAATTGCTGTCCTTGTTTTAAGTTCATTAGCTACAATTTATATTCGAAATGCTAGTGAAATCTCTGTTTTTCCAAAGAATTGATCCCAGTTATAACAGTTGGTTACAGCACCTATAAAACCCTTTTACACTAAAGCATGTAACGCATGCAGTTCTGGCATAGTTCCTGCTTCTTTAATCTAGTAGCTAATAAACAACATATGAAAATGGCACAAACCCTTTGGTACATCCTCCTTTTTGCTGTTAATCTCTTTCTTTGGGTCATAAATGCTGCAGTCAGTTCCTGCCCAGGTGGAAAAACATATGCATGTGGCTTCATTGCTGCAAACCTGAAAAGTAACTGAATGGTATCAGGAACGGAAAAAAGAATCTTTGCAATATACTGCACATTCTATGGATTCTCTTTATAAATCCAACAATCTTCTGAAGCACTGTTTAAAGAGACAATGTAACCATGCTCATGCAAGGCAAAGTGACAGTGTCTCTGCAAAGAGTCCTCCTCCCTGGCGCCTATACTTATCTTATCAACACTCCCTCATCGGTCCTTCCTTCCCCACAGCTGGCACTGAAATGACCAGTGTCAGTGACCAGGGGGAACAGTGATGTCATATGAGAGTGCTCAGGCAGAGCAATTGGCCGCAAGACCCGAGCACTAAAGTCTTGCTTCGAGGTCAAATGCTCCTTCATGCCTGGGTGCTTGGTATTTTTGTTGGCTGCTGAGAAGGAAGGAGCAGCAAGGGAGTGCTGGTAAGGTGGGTATAGGTGCCCCTCCATGGGCAAAGTGAGAGTATCTTTCTAAATAAATAAAGTGTGAAATGGTATTTAAAACCAGCTCTATCTGCAAGAGTTTTTATCATGTGCCTTTATTCTTTAAAGACACTCTTCAAGTACAAAGAGTAGGCAACTAGAGATAGCTGCACATATCAGCAGCTGCCATCTGAGCCCTCCAGTCACAGCTGAATGCCAAACCATTTTAAAGAACAAAGCTCCAAAGCTTCCAAGTTGTGAAGAAGCGTGCTCCACAGCTCTGCTCCCCATACTTTGCTACTTGCCTATCACTATGATGGGCAGCCTCTCTGGCTAATATGAAAGTGGAGGCCAGAAGGAAATGCCAAGGCATTGCCTGTCAGAATGGCCTGGCATTCAGCCATAACAGGAGAGTTTAAGAAGGCTGCTGCCTAGTCATTTTCAGTCAATTTAACTACTTTTGAGCCACTGGGATTCATAAATACAACAAAGCAATGTATCACACACAAGTTCAATCACCCACCAGGATTAGGTAGTCAAAACTTGTCAAATGGAAAGCTTCAATACAGTTTACTGAAAAATCAAATATCATTGAAAGCATTTGTGTTTGTCAGCCTATTTGATCAGGCCAATTTCAATTTAATCTCCAGTCAGTGGAAACCGCTAGTGCTTTTGCAGTTTTGACAAAAATATGTATTTGAAAGTTCCATTGTCCTTTAAATTTGCCACGTGTATGGCCATCTTTAGGGAGAACCTGCACCCAGACTATGCACCCTAAAGTCATTACATATTTTGAACAAGCAGTGAAAGCCCTCATTCACCTCTATAGCTAAATATATTGTGGAGAAATTATTTTTCAGTTCACAACAGAGGCACTGAAATTACCAGTTATTTCTAAGCTTTTGGGTACTGAATTAAAATTGACTTCAACGCTTTTGTTGTAATCTCTGAGGATCTTTGAGAAGGAATTGCTTCACATTAGCAGCTACAGAGGTGAGTGAGGACTTGTTTAAGATCTTTTTTACTGCTTGTTAGGAATATGTAAAAAAGGTTAATGTCCATAGTCTGGGCACAAGTGCACTTCAAGGTAAAGATGGAAATGGAAATACAATCAGCACAAAATATATACATTGTACTGAACAAAAGTATAATGTAAAAGCTCTGGTAGCAGGTGAGGTCAATTATTATATAATTAATAATCTCTAGCTATATAAGCATATATGCAATGCAGTCAGTTTCACCTTTGATGAAGTCCTATAGCGTTAGAAGTAAAAACAAGTCTTCCACAGTTAATTATGTGGGCTTTCCTAACTAAACTTACCCCATGTCCAGAACAGACTTTGTCATTTGAACCCATTGCACAGCTGCTGATGTTTAGTGATGAAATATGAAGACATTTCCTGTCTAAGCACATCATTGATGGGCCACATGGTGTTCCGTCTTCTACATATCCCATGTCAGTCTCATCATCCAAAAGAATATGGGCACCACTGTATAAAGAGATAATAACACTGCAGTCCAGCAACACATAACTTTTTTGTAAATTTCTAAAGAAAAGCATATTCACAATCAGCGGTGAATTAATTGTACCAAGGTCCTGGGCTGTTCTCAATTTATGTAAAGACAACAAAGAAACACGACGCACAGATCTAAGTGCAGTAGAAGTTAATAAAAGGTAAGAATAATGCACTTAAAGAACATTCTGTAAGTATATATATTTATTGTCTCATCTTGTTCCTAGGGCTAAATTAATCTATTGTAAAAGTTTTAGGATTATTTTTTAGATTTTAACATAATGTAAATAAAGATCTGTTGGTTTTTATTTTCATCCTTGGGTATGGCTGTATGTTGGAAATATACCTTTTCTATCAAGTGAGTGAGCATTATAATCATACATACAGTGACTTTAGAATTATTTTGACTGTATTAACTGTATGATTTTACTCACTATATGTTTAATATATGTCTTTTGGTGCATAGAAAGGGAATTATTAGTAACTGGATGGCTCTATTTGATCTATATATCCTGCATTGTGTGGTTAAGGCACTGTGGTTTCCCCTTTAATACTGTTTTCCTTTTAATGCAGAAGGACATGATTAAAGGAGAACTATGACATGAGTGATTTCCACTCACGTCATAGTTCTAAGCCGACCTGTGACAATGAGACTGTCACAGGTCGGCTCAGTAGATCGGGAGGTGAGGGAAAACATACCGGGTTCCCTCACCTCTCGATCTTGTCACGGCTCTCTGCCGTGACAGGGGGAGGGGCTGGATTCCCCTCTCCCCGCTCCGATCTGCCAGCGCTGACTGGCGGAACGGACGGGGGAGGGGGCGGGTACAGCTGGCTCTGCCTCTAGATAGGCAGAGCCAGCTGTCACTCACGCAGCTGGGCGGATCCCGTCATTTAAGTCGGGATCCGCTCCAGGTGCGGCGTCTCAGTATACCGCGAGCTGTAGCTCGCGGTATACTGAGCTTAGGGTAACGGGAGGACGCTAGTTTGTGTCCTCCCGTTA